CAGATGGTGACTTTGGGTTCTCTCCTCTGTCATGAGGAATTTCCTTGTGGATCGGTTGTGAGGGAGGTACATGGCTTGTTTTTTTCTCCCCCAGTATCTGTCTCTGTTCGGAGAAGCATGGGAGGTAGGTTTGCCCTAAGCTGTTCCTCACGTTGAGGTCCCTTTAGCTTAGTGATTTTGGGGTCCTGAGATGTATTTTCAACTTCATGTTTCTGAACACACTGGCACTCTAAACAGTGTTGTAGGAAGCATCTAACTTACTTAGAAGAAGAATCTATTTGGAAGGACTCTTGAGCACCTTCATCCTTGAGAGAACAAAGCCTTTGTTTAGTTTGCCCCGAGGCTGTTAGGCTGCCCTGGGCTGTGCGGCCTTAGAAAGCTGTGCCCCTCTGAGCTCCTGCCTGTGGAATCTGGTGACTTTGAAGTTAATCCAGCAGCTACATGTTTTGGAAAGCAGATTGCCTCTGAAAGTGTTGGTGATTATGATTCTAACACTAGAATTTCAGTGTGTATTTTCCACCCTTCTTACTTTGTCTCCTCATACCCTGAGATGCTGCTGCATTTGCCCTTAGGCTTCACTGAGGGAGGGTCAGTTCTGACCCTATCTTAGATATTGACCTTTGAACGGACAGAATCGGGATTCAGAAAAACCCTTGAGCTGTGAGAGTGTGCTGATATCTATGTGAGTGGGGTTCATGTGTCAAACTCAGGTTTAAGAAAAACCAATTCTAGGCTGGGCATAGTGGCTCACACCTGTCATCCCAGCACCTTGGGAGGCTGAGGTGGGCAGTTCACTTTTGAGCCCAGGAATTCGAGACCAGCCTGGGCAACATAGCAAGACCCTGACTCTACAAAAAATTAAATAGGAGTGGTGATGTGCACCTGTGTCCCAGGTGCTCGGGAAGCTGAGGCTGGAGGATCACCCAAGCCTGGCAGGTTGAGGCTGCAGTGAACCATGATAGCACCACTGTACTAATGGTGCACTGTGCCTGAGTGACAGAACAAGAACCACCACCACCCCCACCACACACAGAAAGTATCAATACATGTAGAGGCCAGTTCTGCTGGGACCACCTGTTAAGGCTACTCTGGGCCTCACGGTTTTAGAAGGGTCTGTTCCGGGGGCGAAGGGAGTGGCTTGAGGGCCTAGAAGCCAGTTCTTGTGGTTCAGCGTGACTGCGGATGTGGAGATGGGGGCAGGGCTCTCTAGGGCATGAGTGGGTAAACGGATGGGCTTCCAGGATGAGTCCCTGTGATTTGCCTGGTTTACATCTGTCCAATAGAAATCCAGTTTCTTACTCTAGAAGCTTCTGCTGGGGCTGATGGACTGGCCTGGGGAGAGAGGGTACCCTCAGAGCCTCAGGGTGCCATCTGGTTTAGGCAGAGCACTTAGTCACCTAGATCTAGGATTTATGGCACTACAGGGGACTCATCACACTCGGAGCAGCAGCCATCTGCATTCTAGACTTGGTTCTAGGCGAAGTACTTTGGAGTCTGTTGGTACCCTGTGTTCTGTTTATCTGTAAAACAAGTTATAACTAGTTACAACCTATGATTAAAATTTTACTACAGAATATGGCAGTTGTGGTGGAGCCTGGCCAGAGACCCCCACTCTCGTACGCTGCCGCGTGCTGGGGTTGCAGGCGTTGCCTGCATCAGCTGCCCCTCCTGGCGTGTCTGTGTTCTTGACACTGGTGCCCATCGAGGCTCGGCCTGTGGGACTCGTGCAGCCATTTGTCTCTGTGTTCCTCTGAGGTTTCGCAGACTTCACCGTCCCGTGGCAGAGCGTACAGTATCTGCTTGCATCCTGATGTCCCCAAACCCCAGGACAGGCCAAGAGTTCCTTACACACAACTGCAGAGGGCCCCGTGGTGTGGATTTGCGGGTGACACAACCTTTCCCCAGTTCGGCCTTCATCTCCAGAGTTGGCTTTAGGGTGATAGAAGCTTCCTTCAGACTGAGGGGCCCTGAAGCTTTGGTGCTAGGAATTCGGTGACCGGCACGGATGATACCTCGTTTCTCTGCATTTGTAGCAATAGTTATTAACATGACCACGAGATGTACAGAGGAAGGAAAAGGAGGTTTTCTTTTCAGAGTAACACTCTGTGCTTTGGGAAATGTGGTCTCGGGGGTGCTGTAAGCACGTGCCCCTCAGGAGGGGAGGAGGCCGCGGCGTTACACGTTCCTGGGTTTGTTGGCTGTGTGTGTTCATCGGGCTCATGGAATGTCGGAACGTTTACAGGGAAAGTGGGGTTTGTTCATCCGGTTCGTGCAATGTCTGAACACTTACAGGGAAAGTCTAGCACACATGCAGTGAGTTAACCTGTAACATCCATGTTCACCTTGGGGCAAGCGTAACATTTGAAATGAGGTTGACTGGGCGTGTCATGTACACAGGTGAGCTGTTGGGCGCAGACGTTTATGCACAGCCTCAGTCACAGCCAGGACTGGCTCAGGGTCTGCAGGTTGTGGCAGGAAAGGACATTCACGAGGCCATTCTGTCCAGTTGGGGCTGCCGGCAGGGTCCCAGGGTGGGGCTTCTGATTGTGGAGGAGACTTCATGCTGGTTAACAGACTGTATAGGAGTAGCGCCGTGGAGCTTTGGGGTCCACCTTCCCTATGATGCCGGTTACATTTCTCTCCGGACCTCATCGTAGCCACAGAGAGTGCACCTCGTCTGACAGCAGGGGTTGCCATGTTGCTATAGTAATTTATTGTATTAACCTTTTTATTACTATTTTAATAACTTTTTTTCTTTTTAAAGAGATAGGATATTGCTGTGTTACTCAAGCCAGTCTTGAACTCGTGGCCTCAAGCAATCCTCCCACCTCAGCCTCCCAAAGTGCTGGGCTTATATACATGAGGCAGTGTACCCAGCCTACAGCCATGTTTTTAAAACTCAGCACTTTAAAAATCCTACTCCTTTCACCCCCTCAAGCACGCTGGTTAGCCTTGTGCAAACTGGGGTGTCAAGATCTTGGCCCCCCTTTTATTTCACCCTTTGACCTCAAGTTCTGATGAGAACAGCAGTTACAAAATGGGCATTAGGTGATTCTTCCGTTACTAAACCCAGAATTCTCACCAGTTAGAGATGTTTGTCCCCAGGATCCCAGAAAGCTGTTTTAAATCAAGCTCGTAGCAAGTAAGTAAGGAACTAAACTCTTGGTCCTCTGCTTAGTACCTGGGGAATGGGTTAGTTGCTGATACCCTTTGATCTGTGCTCACGTGCTGCATCTTGTCACGGGAAGCAGAGTCACCCTGTGGAATAAAGCCTAGCTCACGGTGGCACGTCAAGACGCTCTGGGCTGTCAGTCCCTTATACCTCACCTCCTCCACCTCCTCCACCTCCTCGTCCTCCATGCAGAGCGGGGGCAGCGGGGCTTCCCACAAGCTGGCGGAGGTCTTGGTCCAGACCGACATAGGTGAGCACGCTTCACAATGTCTTTCTGTGCCTGTTGTCTGAATGCCTTTGTGGGTGCAGGTTTTCCTCTGTTTTATCATGGCTGTGCAATCCCTTGGTGGAAAGAGTGCAGAGCCCCTCTGGCCCCTGGGGTGCTTTGGTTGGATTGTTTCTGGAAGCTCCTTTACTGCTTCTCATGCCCAGGTCCCTCCCACAGCTGGAATTGCAGGGGCCTTGCTACTGGGGAATCCTGCAGCCATATCCGCTCCCATCTTTTCTCACTTATGCTCCTTTGTGAAACCTTAACAGTCCCAGTCAACAGGACAGGGTTTTAAAGTGTGCTCCTCCTGACCACGGGAGTCATTTATGGAAACGAGGGCTTTAACCACGGCTGCTTTACGCTGCTGTCTGCCACAGGTGTTCAGATTTCTTGGGCGTGGCGCACTGTTTTGTGTAGGTTCTATGACAAGGGAGATCCTCTGTGTTAGAAAAAGAACGAAGTTAGGATCACTGCCCTACAACGTTTGAAATGCCGTGGAAAAGGAGTGAAGTGAGAATTACTAGAGGTAGAGCCGGCGCGTGGAGGAGCGGTGATGAGCCTTCTGTCGCTCTGCCTTTGAATGGTTCAGGACTACATGATTTCCATCAAGTATGGGACTTGGGTTGACTAGGATTTGGTGTGTGTCTCTATTAAAGCAGTAATCGGAGACGACTGTGTACCATGTTGCCGATAATGGAGCACAAGACACAGGCTCAGACTCTCCCGGCATCAGCTACCACAGGAAAGCCTGATCTCTGCAAATCCCTCAGTGGGAAGCAGGTGGACGTCATGTGTGATCAGATAGCCCACAGACACCCCGGAACCCCAGAATGTTCACTTCTAGATCACTGACTCCTTGACACCCAGAGGCGTTTCGGATTGACTTGGGTCCCAGCCCCTTCGGTGCTCACTGACACTGAAAGCGTCAGCTGTTTTCTGTCTGGAACAGGAGTTTGCTGTCAGGAGAGCTGGGTCTGTCTCACTTTTCCCAATAACTGCTGCTGGGATCTGGAAGTTCCTTCTCCTGCTTTAGGCTTTCAGTGAGGGAAAAAAAATTGAAAAAAATAATTTTTCTCTCTCAACTGTTGTCAGTATAAAGGAGAAAGCAGAAATACTCTTTAAAAGTTTGCAAAGTAGTACTCAAATGCAAAGCAGTATTACACTTCAGTTTGACACAGTTTCAGGAACATGTACACTCATTTATGTGAATTAATAACCTATACTTGAAATCACAGTAGGTTAAACATTGAACAGAAATGTGTGACTGTTACATATTTTTCCATAATATTCCATGTGTATATTGGATGCCAGGATAGTGGTCGAGGCTCTGCTAGACCTGACGGGGAGGCCAGACACCACCTCTGCCACTTGGTGGAAACATTTGTATCCTCGGATTGTATTCAATTTTAAGGAAGTGCACAGAATCTTACCCGGAAAACACATATTTTGAACAAATGAAGCACTGCACTTGGGCCTCCCTTTGTGGGTTTACCCTTGCAATACTGGAGGAAGTTTTAGTACAAAGACTTAATTTATCCAAACTGTGAGGGGCGGCTCCTAACTCATGTACATCAGGGCTCAGTGTGACCCAAATGTAACTCTCAGGTGATCACGTTCCAGTAATTTCTAATTGGGCACAAAGGTAATCCTCGTAGACTATCTGGACATTTTCTATAAGTTTGGTATTTTTTGGAAAAGCCGTGGCAAAATAATGAAACTTGAAGAGGAGAAATATTTTCTGTAGCAAAACAAGAGAAGTAAAAAGTCAGATGTGCATGTGACCTTCTGAGATCATCAGAAGCCTGTGAACGAGAACTTAGCGTGTGTGATCGTGTGTGCGCATGCGTGTGAGAGTTCTAAGGAGTCCAGGCACAACATAGTCACACTGGCCAAATCCTCCAAGGGATGGAAGGGGAGGCCACAGAGGCTGCTTTCGTCGGAGGGGAGAAAAGCCCAGGGCTGCAGACTCCAGGTCACCCAGTCTCACAGAGCTGGCCGCGCTTCTACTTGTTGTTGAAGCGAAATCTCAAGTCCTTTGTGGATTTTTTTCCACCAATTTATGCCAGCAGTTAAGTGGGAACATCTCACATGTATCTTCGCAGTCAAGCCAGTTTGGCATAAGATAGGAAATCGCATTCTAGTTTTCTTTTTCTACTGCTTTACCCGCTGTCCATCTAGAAGCTGTCTGCAGCGCTTTCACACCTCGGAGCTGAGAGGAGGCCTCCGAGACGCTACCATCCAAGTCCGCTGAGGATTGAGGGTTGGTTCTGCAGGAAGTCGGGCGGCCTGCCTGCAGGTGGAAAGTCGTGGCACTGAGGGACGGTGTGGCGGACCCTCCCCTTAGTGAGAGCCGATCATTCTTCTCTTCTCAGTCACGGGTTCCAAGTGAGTGGCGTTGCCAAATCAACTTGTGACGCCAGACTGACACCCTCGGGAGGGGCTGACGCGGTGCCCAGGCGGCTCAGCACCCCCACCCCGCCCGGTTCTCGGATCATAAAGGAGCATCGTTTCACGGCCTCTTTTGTGCCTCGATTTTCTGTGTGCTGTTTTTGTGCGTTCAGTTGATTTCGCCGTCTAAATGGCCTCCGGGCGCGGTGCTGACACGGGCAGTGTCCGGTGAAGAAAGGCTTTTGAGGATGAGCACCACTTTCAGCAGCACAGAATATCACGCTTCTGTGTCTTCTGTGGCTTCTGTTGCGTGGGACGGTGGTGGGTGATCCTGAAAAGCTTCTGTCAAAGGAGGATTCAGAATCCAGATCCGCACTGTGGCGCCCATCCTCAAGATTCTAGGTGTGACGGGCGTCGTCAGTGGGCTGCTTGGCACATCTTCCTCAACGTTTTATTCATTAACTAGCAAAGCATGCTTTTCCCCATTTAGCCGCTTACGGCTTGACTTTCTCTCCACGGGGTGCTGTAAGAGAAAGAGCTCCATGCGCTCATTGGCCTTAGGCAGTCCTTAGTACACATTAGGGTGTAAAGGTGGTTTTTTGAATGACTAGTATTGTTTGTACTAAGACAAATAATAGTAGTTCTTGATGTCTCCCCCTTTTGTAAAGGAAATCCTATGAACTGTATATGTGTTAACTCATGTAATCCACCCAACTACCCTACATGGTCATAGCCATTACTGTTCCCATTTGATGAAGAAACTGAGGCACGGAGAGCTTAAGGGACATCCCCAAATCTCCAGAAGTTTCCAGAGCCGGGTTTCCATTTCCAGGCCCTGGGCTCCAAAGCGCCAGTAAAGCCCTGGGCTGTGTCGACGGTGGCTGACAGGAAACGGGACCCTTCCATAAACACACACACGGTTCCTGGTGCCCCGCCATCGCCAGTCTAACGTTATTTTAGTTAAAACGCCGCTAACGTGGCTCCTGTTAGGAAATTGAGGTTTCACCGAACTCTGCTCCATTTTCGGCAACATGAGTTATGCTGAGGTCCCCCTTTGTGCCGGATGTTTGTGGCAGACATGGCTGAGATCGGCTTTGGCTTCTCACGGCAACCCCAGGGTGAGAGCCTGCGCTCCGGTCTCTTCCTAAGTTATGGCTTGCTCAACCTGCAGAGCAAACGCCACAACCACCAGAAACACTCATGATGTGCTTCTTTACAGAAAATCATTCTGCACCTCCTGACGTAACCACGTACACCTCAGAGCACTCCATACAGATGGAGTGACCACAGGGTTCCACGGGGTCCCGGACAGCGCCCGAGTACGGCAACGCCGAGCTCATGGAGACCGGCGATGGTACGTCCCAAAGCAGAGATGCGTTTTTTTCTGGTAAACGGTTTGTACTGATGTCCCGTTCCGTGCCCGTGACTGGGTGTGTTTCTTCCTGGGGTGCAATCTGCTGCCATTTTATCTGCTGAATAACAGTGGTTCAGCAACTGAGAAATTCTTGTACAGGTGTTAAGACCATGAACAGTCACTTAGAAGAGCAAGATGAAGTTAAATGTACAACAGAATTACTGTCAGATGGGCCGATATGTTGCTTTAGACTTAGGAGGAAAAAGGGTCTTTTTATCCATGTTGGACAGAGATGTCAGCGACTTGGTAAAAGGCTGTGGCAGGGGGCTTCTCCTTCCTTCCTTGTGGCCTGGTCTTGGTATGTTCTCATTACAGCGGCCGTTTGTATCACCTAGCCCCTATTCTATTTAAGTCTCAGTCCTTCCTGGGGTCATAAAAGTCAGTGTAGAGCCTAACAGTGAATGAAATACAATACCCGGTGTGAAGCCTCATGGAGCAGTTTTGGCATAGCATCATCTTGCAGTGCATGGGACTCATAGGTGGACAGGGAGGCCTATCCCAGCCCCAACAAGTAGACAGGGAGGACTATCGGAGTCCCGACACTCACAGTGGACAGGGAGGTCTATGCCCTGGGCTTAGATAATGGTGCGTCAGGGTAGCCTTCCACCCTTTAGCCCAGAGCTTGGTGTTCCAAAGGCCACGAGGAGTTTCAGACCCTCGACCCCGGACATGTTCCAAGACTCTTATGTCAGATATGGAAGCCCTGCCTCAGCTTCTCCCAACACTCAGCTTCTCGGAACACTCAGCTTCTCCCAACACTCAACTTCTCTGCCAACATAGAAGAAGCATCTTGATTGTGCTTTTCTTTAAAAAATCAATGTATTGCTATACATACATATTTTATACTTAACTGCATATCTTAGAGTATAAACTTTGACATATAAAAATCTCCATAGTGGTTATCTGTGGGGCACAGGATTGGCGCAGAAACAGGCACTTTCCCTTTGAACTGTGATGTTTGCGTTGTTCATACTAAGAATGTGCTCGCGTTGGTTGTACTGTTTGCTTCTAAGTTTCTATAAAAAGAGAGCAGTAGACTGATGCACTCAGTGTCCTGGGAATAGAGGCTGTGCTCTGGGTCTGAGTGCTGCCAAGCCCCACCACTCCCTTGGGCGGTGAAGTCAACATTTCCGTGCCCGAGTCTTCTCATCTCAAATTGGGGAATAATAACCATAGGCTTGTGGTGAGTTTTGAGTCCCTATGCATGACTCAGAACCATTTGGCACATGGAAGGTACCACTAGGGCAGTGGTTTGCCATCTGTAGGGGGAGGCATCAGCACCACCAGGTCAGAAGTTAAGGGGTGACCCTGGACACCACGTCTGTGGCGAGGTGGGGCTGTGAGGCTGCCTGTGTGTCAGGAGCACCGTGCTTCTGTGCCCAGCTGTGTGTGCCGGGAGCACCACGCTTCTGTGCCGGCCTGTGTGTGTGTTGGGAGCACCACGCTTCTGTGTCGGCCTGTGTGTGTGTTGGGAGCACCACGCTTCTGTGCCGGCCCGTGTGTGTGTTGGGAGCACCACGCTTCTGTGCCGGCCCGTGTGTGTGTTGGGAGCACCACGCTTCTGTGCCTGGCTGTGTGTCAGAAGTACTGCACTTCTGTGCCTGCCTGGGTGTGTGTGTGGGGGGGGCGGGGAACACCACGCTTCTGTGCCTGCCTGTGCCTGTGTTCTGAGCCTGCCTGTGCCTGTGTTCTGTGCCTGTGTTGTGTACCTGCCTGTGTTCTGTGCCTGTGTTGTGTGCCTGCCTGTGTTCTGTGCCTGCCTGTGTTCTGTGCCTGCCTGAACACCACGCTTCTGTGTGCGCCCTTGCACTCCAGCCTGGGCGACAGAGTGAAACCGTGTCTCAGATAAAAAGGGGGGGGATTTTGTAATTGAGATAACAAAACATACGTGATTGGGCCCTAAGATGACTTTTCCTCCCAGCCTCTTGCCCGGCAGGTCAGTGTTCTGAATCTTGGCTAGCCCAGCGTTTTGCTGTCATGTGGCTTTTTATTTTATTTTATTTTATTTTTTAAATTTATTTATTATTATTACTTTAAGTTGTAGTACTGTGCTAACGTGCAGTTTGTTACTATGTATACTTGTGCCATGTTGGTGTGCTGCACCCATCAACTCATCATTTACATCAGGTATAACTCCCAGTGCAATCCCTCCCCCCTCCCCCCTCCCCATGATAGGCCCCGGTGTGTGATGTTCCCCTTCCTGAGTCCGAGTGATCTCATTGTTCAGTTCCCACCTATGAGTGAGAACATGCGGTGTTTGGTTTTCTGTTCTTGTGATAGTTTGCTAAGAATGATGGTTTCCAGCTGCATCCATGTCCCTACAAAGGACGCAAACTCATCCTTTTTGATGGCTGCATAGTATTCCATGGTGTATATGTGCACATTTCTTAATCCAATCTGTCACTGATGGACATTTGGGTTGATTCCAAGTCTTTGCTATTGTGAATAGTGCCGCAATAAACATACGTGTGCATGTGTCTTTATAGCAGCATAATTTATAATCCTTTGGTATATACCCAATAATGGGATGGCTGGGTCATATGGTACACCTTCATGTGCTTTTAAAACAAAACTAAGTATACCTTAAATTTTCATCACTAAGATAGTGTATTCGGCCTCTTGTAACAAAGTACCACACAGTGGGTGATTTAAACAACAGACACTGTCTCAGTTCTGGAGGGTGAAGTCGGAGACCCCGAGGTGTCATAGGGCTGGGCCTCTGGAGGTGCTGAGGGAACCTGCCCAGGACTCACCCCGGCTCGGGTGCTCAGCGATCCTGGAAGGGGTACCTGTCACTCCAGTCCCTGCCTCCATCATCATGTGAGCTTCTCGCAGTGTCTGGGCCTCTCTCTCCTCTTTCAAGGACCGAGTTATTGGATTTAGGGTCCATTCTAACCCAGTATGACCTCATCTTAACCTGATCATAAGATGGCCCTGGCTTAAGGTGGTTCAACTTGCGATTTTCACCTTTACAATGGGTTTATCAGGTTGTAACCCCATTGTAAGTCCAGGGGTATCTGTCTCTGCACAGGCCCTGCTTTGAAATAAGGTCACAGATACGAGGGGTGATCTTTTGCAGGGACACGATTCAACCCACAGCAGATACTGAAGCTCACAGTTCCTGACTCCCACATCGATCTTTGTAGAGGACTGTTAGGGTGAGGGAATGGTGGCAGGACCACTGACAACACTGTGTTTTCATTTTGGAGTTTTAGTTTTTTTGAGGTCTCTGGGAAGTAAAGGCCAGGAGAATAATGTAAAGCCCAGTGATTTGAGCTCACGCTATCTAGGTGGTTCCTGTGGGTTTTCTTACTTGGGCAGACTTTTCTATCTGATTAGCTCTATCCCTTTTGATTCTTACATCTAGAATAGTTCTGTATCAGGAGTCTTTTATGCTTTTTTCAGTACACCAGTTAATTCATTCAAATGAGATCTCCTCTTGCAAATTTTAACTTTATGTTGCCTCATTTATGTCTTCAGCTTCATTATAAACCATAATATTTTAAAGTTAAACAGCAAGCTTAGGTCCAGCTTTTAAGTGTAAAGTGCATTAAAGATTTACATATGGAAAATTACAGAAACAAATGTGATGTGTACTAAATTGCGGTGACTCCCTTAGATAACCATTGAGGAATTGTTAGTTTTCAGGAATATAATTCATGATCTTAGATTTTAACTTATTTGTTCACAAATTCAGTCAGCAGATATTATTGCTAGACATTTTCCAGGGCTGGGATGCAGCAGTGAGCAAAACAAACTGGAGAGTTGGGTCTGAGGGAGGAGGTCGCACAGGTAGTCAGAGATGTGTGCTATGGGGTGGGCACGCTGGGTGGGGAGTGTTTTCTGAGGGGATGAGAAGTCTCAAATTTGAACCAAACTCTGGAGATGCGGAGGGAGAGGGCCGTGCGGAGGTCTGCCGGAGGAACGTCCTGAGTAGCAGCGAGAACCAGCACAGAAGCCTCAAAGCGGGGGCAAGCTGGGGTGTCCGGCAGAGGAGGCGGGTCGGACCCCAGAGTGGTGCACATGTGCACAGTGGTCTTCTGAAACCTGCCTTGTGTGACCCCTTCTCCTGACCCACAGTTCATTCTACAGCTTGCCTGCCACCCAAATAATTTTCCTGAGAACTTGGCAGCCAGAATGGCACAGCATCAATCTTATTTTAGATTCTTATATATAAAATTGGGCATACGCCCAGACAGCCTGCATCTGAATTGAGGCTGAACAGTCAGGATTTCCATCATTTCTGTTCAGTGGTTTTGTCTGCATTCTTGGAGTGGATGCACCCCCTTCCAGACGTTTGCGGAACTGGAAGAGCAGACCATGCAGTGAGCAGGAGCTGGGAGGACAGAGAGAGCCGGTGTGTGCAGGACCTGCAAAGAGAGGTCAGGAGAGGAGCTGCCTTCGTAGTTTTCAGGTATTCTTGAGATTCCCTGAGAACGTAGAGGCGGAAGCAGTAGACTCGCCAGCAGCCGTTCATAAACAGAACGAGCACCCCCTAATGCGGCCACGTGGGTGGCCGGCACTGTTCCCAGGGGTGCCCAGCCTGCCGCGTGTGTGCTGACTGCACAACTGTGGTTGTGATGGCTTGTCTGCCCCTGCATATTCAAGTTAAAAACTGTCGTTGCAGGCCCACGGATGACAGTAACCAGCCCCCGTGCTGGGGCGTCCTCTCCATGCATGGGCTGACCTATGGAGTCATTCGTTTGGACTCCGAAGAGAAGCTCTCTGTGCTCACCATGCAGGATGTCAGCCTCGTGATGCCTGGAGGTGAGTGTGCATTGCGAGCCGCACAGATTAACCGGTTATTAAATGCTTTTCTAACACACATCACCAAAGCCCACATTCCCGTGTTCCCACGTTCCTACGTTCCTACGTTCCTACGTTCCTGTGGTGCGTCCTCTGGCTGCGAGCCTCACTCCGAGTCTTCTGAAGCTCTTGTCAGGCTTCAGACATTTGAGGCAGCGTTCCCTCTCCTGGGAAATGATCAAAAAGATGGGGAAGAGCAGCTTTGCACAGTGGGGCTTCAGGCTTCTCTTCCCTGGAAGGTTTCTGGGCCTGTGCAGTGTCCACACTGGTGCTTGGGCAGCTTCGCTTCTCTGCCCCAGAGGACGTGCCCGTCCATCACCTTAAGGCACCAGTCAGAGTGGGAACAGCCAAGCTTGACTGCCCCCATGGCAGATACGTGTGAAAACCTAGGAATGTGAGTCTGTGTGACCATGAAGCCTCTTTTCAGCAGTAGAGCCCTTTTTCCAAGTCTCAGAAGCCTTTTCCACAGATGCGTGAGGAAGCACCCAGCTGCAGGGCCCACCGTGCCTCCCACCAGCCCCACAAGGAGTGCCCAGGCACCTCCCAGGAGCCACTTTACCATTCTCAGGGTGCACACACCTGGCGCTCAACTCATGGGGTCACAGGCAGCATCAGCCCCTGGCTCTCTGGCCCCTGAAAGGGAACCTGGCTCTTTTCTCAGCTGGGGACCCCAGAGCCTGTGTCTCCTGCTGAGCCCTCCAGGCATGGGGTATGGGCTCAACCCAGCAGGGTAGCCATGCCCGTGCGAGCAGTGCTGCCACCATCAGCAGCGGGTGCAGGACGCCAGGTCAGGTGGGTCTCAGCAGGGACCCCCTCCCCGTGGAGTCTCACACAGGCAGACCCCTCATGCCCCTTCATGGTGAGCTGCACTGGGGCCAGGCGCTCCAGAAACTCTTGCCTTTCTGTTTGCCTGGTTTGGCATAAAAGAAATGAAGGCAGCCCTGGGCTTCCCTCTGCCTCACTAACCCGATTCCCTGTGGACGCCCTCCAACATACCCGGGGCTCTGCCTCTGCTTCCAGCCTTCCAGCCCCTGTGTCCAGCCCACTCCCTGCCCCCCAGCTGTGGCCAGGCCCCCTGGCTCCCTTTCTTTAATATTTAGTTTTCAAATAAATGGAGCTTCATGGTAAAATCTTCAAAAAGTTCTGAAGGACACAATGGAAACGCTCCTTTGTGACTGTGAGAACAACCGCGAGCTTCCCATGCTCCCCGTCAGAGGCACCTGGGGCTGTGGGACAGAAGCGTGCGCCCTCCACCCTGTGTGTAATTTTCTGCCCTGGGTTTGGGGATTTTCTCACATCATGATAGATGTGAGAAACTGACAGAAACATGACAGATGTGATAGACTGCCTACACACGCATATTTTATATCTTGGGGTCCTTTGTCAGCATGTAACGAGCTCCGTGCTATTCTCGAGGTGGCACAGTGCTACGTTGTGGGAGCACTAAGGTTATTTGAGCCAGCCCTGTTTGGTGATTTTCCCTCTTTTGCTGCTGCGGTGAGTGACACCTTCGTGGCAAATGGAAACAGTTCTCGAAGTGGGAGTTCTGTTTCAAAGAGAACTACCGATGTAGCTTTTACGATGATTGTCTTTTTGAAGCCTGTGAGGCTATACACCCCGCTGAGCGGTAAACAGCAGCACTTCTTTCTCCACTCCCTTATCTGCCCTATTAGCTGACTTTTATTTTTGTCAATATGATGGGTGAAGAATCTTTCAGTGTAATTTTAATGTGAATTTTTCTTCCTGTGAGTTTAGCTTATGTTTCCGCTGTTGCACTATTTAGGCACCTGTACTCCAGCCCAGCGGGTGCTGGCTGTTTCAGGCTCTTTCTAAACAGTTCAGCTGTCACTAATGCACACTCCACCCCTCTGAAGCGTGAGGCTCTTGGCTCGCTAATCAGATCTGTAGCTTGCCGTTGGGGGGAATTATAGGACGTTGTTGTTCAAAGCATCAAAGTGCTGGTGGCACAGATCATTGAGAACTGATCAGCACTGAACCATGTGCGAAGTGCTCCAAGGGGTGTTCTCGGAAGGACTCACCTTGCACGGGGCATGAAATCGAAGGTTCAGATTCCCCTAAGACATTAGAGGCTTGATTTGCAGAGTTCAAGTTGCACCACAGTGCTGATGTACATGTGGCAGGTGGCCCTGAGGTTGGTTCTGAGGGTCCTCCCCAAATCTAAATGGCAGATGTTACACCCCTGTTTCAGCTCTGAAATTGGACATATTGCTGCAACAGGAAAAATCAAGGTCAAGGGCTCAGTCCCCTGAGCCTGCCCCCGCTTCGCCAATGGCAAGTTTCAGGTCTCGCTTGCTTCTAGATGACCACCTACAAATCGGGGTTGCCATGTCCTTCTACTTAAGGTCAATAACGCGCCAGACTGGCTCACAGTACCTAGGGCAACACCTTTACCTACTCTCACCAGTTCGTTATGAAGGACCTGTGAACAGCCAGATGACGAGGTGCATTGCTCCAGGCCTGGTGGGTGGGGGCGGGTTTCAAGTGCAAGGGCTTCTGGCCCTGGGGAGTGGGAATGCTGCCCTCCCAGAATGTCAAGGTTTTCCCCAACCTGAAAGCTCTCCAACCCCACCATTTAGGGTTTTCTAGAGGTGTCACTGTAGACATGGTTGATGACATCTTTGGCTAATGGGGATTGACTCATCTCCAGCCCTCTCCCTCCAGGTCAGAGGTTGGGTTGGAGACTGACAGCTCCAGCCCTCTAGTCCTGCCTTGGTCTTTCTGAACCCGAGAACCACCCTGAAACTGCCTAGGGGGCCCCAGCTCCCAGGCCTGTCCCGACTACACAAAGGCACTCTGACCACTCGAAAGATTCCAAGGGTCTTAGATGCTCTGTGCCCAGAACCAGCTGAAGACCAAATAGCTACGTCTCCTTGGATGGCACAATCACAAGCTCTCATCAGCTGACGGTCCGGGGCAGGTGTGCTGAGAGAGCTTTGCTATGGCCCTGTTGCTGGGAATCTCTGTTTTCAAGCCTTGCTGGGCAACAGACGCTCTCTGGTCATTCCCCAAGCTGATTGAATTTCCAGTCTTTTCCGTTTGATTCCACTGTTCTGGCCCAGTTCTTCTGAAGCCTCTTTCAACATCGTTGCCTCACCTGGGCGCTGAGATCCTGTGACCCTCACCCAGCAGGAGATACGGATGCCAGGATCCGGCTACCCTACTTCCAGTTGGATTGTGAAGAAGCCGGCTATAAGCCTTCCCTTCCTAGGTCTCTGTAATGCCAGAAATGGGATGTTTTAGAGTTCATTATTATTTCATTTTAGGTCGATACGAGCGACATACAAATTTGAGTTGGGCAGTTCACTGGCCAGGCACCTGACTCTTCTGGATAAGAAGAGTCTGGGTAAGTCTGGATAAGAAACAGGCCCCACACTGCTAGGACACAGAAGGGCAGCCCCTCTCCCCACAAGGTCGTGACAGAAAACCCCAGCTCCCGCAAATGCAGGAATTCTACAGATTTTCACTTAGAAGAAAATGCCACCCAGGAGTACCCACCCCGATTAATTTTCTCAAAAGTGGTTTTGCAGAGGCTCAGAAGAAAAGTCAGGACACAGGACGCCAGCCAGCCCCATCTTCCCAAAATCACTTGCCCCGGGGTCACCCACCTGCAATCAAACTGTTAGACATGCCTTTTATTCTCAGCTATTACCAGAGCAAATATTCCTGGAGAAGCACGCATTCGAATAGGGTGCCTCTTTCCCGAGGTCCTGGAGAGCGAGGCTTCCGCAAGTGACTGGCCAGGGACCCTGGAAACTTCACGGTTGGCGAGCTGGAGGGTAGAGGGGGCAGAACCCTAATGGTGGGTGAGTTGAGAATGGAAGAGCGTTCTTCACCTCAGTCTCCTGGGGTCTTTCCCTTCAGGAACTGAAGAGGTGAGGAGGGCTGTGCAGTCTCAGACAGGTGCTACCTGGGCTTCGAAAGCCGACGCATCTGTCCCCAGAGCTGGGCAGCCGCCAGCCCAACCCACCCTGTAATAACTGAAGTCCTTTGTCCCCACCTAGAGCCAGTCCGGGGGTCGGGTGCACACTGTACTTGACCAACCCATGCCATACAGGCAGTGCTGATGTCACTTTCCTACTTCAACGGCCCCCCTCCCAAAGTATACCTTCGGGACATTGGAAAAAAGACACCCCTTAACGTAGCCCCAAGGCCTCTGCTCTCCATGAACCTCCTGAGGGCGACTGCAGCATGGCGAGCAGGGAGCCCCGGGCTTCTTGATAAAAGTGTAAAATGAAGCTCTGTCTGAAAGGACACCCATCTGTTAGATTTGGAAAACATCTAAAGGCCGTTTGCTTTTCACAATGAGTAGACTCTTAGGAATGTATTCCAAGGAAAGGCAGAAGATATAGAGAAACAAATTCAACAAGAATATTCTTTGGAGTAATAGCAAGGGACGGAGGGATGGAGAGAGAAGTAGACAGGAAAAGGCGAACAGGGGAACCAGGAGACGGGACATTCACAGACAAGAGAAAGAGAAACAGAGTGACAGAGGCAGAGAGAGCAGCTAGCTCGTTTTCAACTTGACCTCCTGGAAGAATCTAGCAGGATCATAGAATCCTCAGCACATCCTTGTACTAGGACAGCCAAGTTTCAAGCCAAAGTTTCCCAAACTACAAGGTAACAAATACTAAGACTGGAGAAGCTGTGCACGTTCCTTTCCAGCTCCTTTTTGCAGCATCAGCAGAATGGGGCAGGTTGCTGCGTTCATTCTAAAAATCAAAACTGCAAGAGGACTCAGCTGCGGAGATGGGGGTGGGAGGGCAGATGTTCTCTTGCTCACTGAGCTCACACCCCGGAGACGGCCAGCACCTAACGCTGCCTCCACAGGTTCCATGGAGGACACGGGAGAGTCTACGGCCATGTGAAGAGCAGATTCACATTTCTGTGGCTCCCTCCGGGGGGAGCTAAGAGCTGTATCCCAGGAGTCCTCCTCGCTCCCGTTGATCCTGCTGCCCTAGCCGTTAGCATCTCTGCCAATCTTCATGAAAGAGCCTGTTGCACCGCAGTCCAGCAGGGCCACAATATTCAAAATGAAAATTGTAATGATCACTCTTCTGACTGCAAAATCCCAAGTCAGAGAACTTCTCTCACTAAAGCCGGGCGGGGCGGGGGGAGCTGGACAGAGAAGCCGCCCTGGCTGTGGGGTGCTAAAAACTGTGACACCGCCTGGCACCAGCGAGGAGGGACTCACGCTCGACCCCAGAGGGAAGAATAACAAGGGGCCACCGCGGGTCTCCCCCAAGCTTCCAGCTGTCAGGAAATCTTGTCCAATCACCCACCTTACCATGCCACCTGCTCACCTGCATTCTGTAGAAGTAGTAATGTATCATTCACGTCCCAGCAGGCCAAGTGGGCAGGAAAATGGGGCCAAAAAGTAGAAAACCATGACCGAAGAAGGCAACGTCACGTGACTGAGGTTTCTGGGTTGTGCGTCCTTGTGGTGATAAACACAGTCCTAACTGAGCTGAACACCAGAATGAAAACGAACCGTCCTCCGTGCTGAAGTCGGAAGAGGTGTGCTTGGCTATCCGCAGTGCCTGCCTGTTTGGGCGGTGATTACTGCAGGTCACACGTGCTGTACAGGAGGAGGGCAGGGAACTCTGGAGCCAGGCTGGCCGGGTGCAAGTCCCAGCTCCGTGGCCAGCTCTGTGATCTGGGACAATTCGCCTATGTCCTCTGCCTCTTGATTTCCTCCTCTGTAAAATGGGGGTAATAGTCACATCTATCTGAAAGGGCTATGTGAGAATTAAACGACCTTGTCAATGTAAGGGGCTGAGAACAGTATCTGTTCTTGGTGAGCAGAAGGATGACCAGGAGGTGACCAGCAAAATACCCCTTTCGAAGCCTCAATACTATTCCATAGTGAGCAAAGACATAGCTCCTCTACGGACGAAGCCATTAATAGTCGATCCTGGCAGGCAGAGTGCAGATTCCTTCGAATCAGAAATTTGAACTCTGGCCAACGACTGCTGTACTGATTGAGTAAATCTTAGGATTTGTTGTTAAGGGTAAAGTAGTCTACAAAAACAGTCTGAAGGAGTTTGAGAGGGTGTGGACTCAGCTGCAACCCCTCCTCCCAAGGCCGTTGGTCAACATCATCTCCAGCCCTGTGGAAAGACAGAAGCAGTGAAGAAAATGTCGGACAAACCTTTGGTGTGTTTGTACACTTCTCCCAGAAATCCTAAATGCTTTGCATGTTTCAGCTAATAATTCCTTAAAATGGATTATGCTGACCATTTTATAACCTACTTCACTGCTCTCCTGTCTAAATCCATCCCTTTGTGACAAATGTTTTACACTTGGCTCATTTTTTCAATTGTGTTTGCTGTCTTACCCCCATGTAAAGGATAAACGTGCATGCTTATGTTGATTTGACTGAGACAGCTAATGCTAAATATGTCTCTGTTCCTTGAATGTTGACTTGTGATGGTGTCATTTAAGTCTCTTACTTTTTCCCCTTGAGTCAGCAAAATATTCCATGTTACTTTGAGCAAAACTTGCTCACTAGTGTTATGGAGGGTATAAAAGCAAATGGAATAAGTTTCCTGCCTTCAGGAGGATTGAAATCTCAAAGTCGGTATGACAGCAAGGATGGGAGTCAGCTCAGTTTGCAGCTTTTAAAACATGTTGGAATCTTTCCTCTGCCACTTTTGATGGTGAGACCCTGAACCAATCACTTCCACAAGCATCAGGCTCTCCATCTATGACATGGAAGTAAAAAGAGTAATCTTGACAAAATTGTGATGACTACAGACGTGTACCTAACCTCTTATTTACCGCCTCCTGATAGAAGATATTGTAACTCATCCCATTTGAGAGCTGGTGGTGATCACCCCATCTTGTGAGATTCAAGTATAATAATTATCTGGAATCCCCCATCTTCAGATGAGAAGACCCAGCAGCCCTGCCAATGTCTTCTGGAAACTGGATTTTGTTTGAAGGGTGAACTGACTTCAAGTTTCTATTTTCACGTATTGTCCTTCCTACGTGCCTCCTGGGGTTTTTCCCTTCCTCCCAATCTACATTAACCTGATGATAACAGCCAGCTATGTTTTCTAGAATTCCCCTAAATTGACTCATACCAAATACTGAATACAGTAGATTGGGAGGGTTCATTAAATCACGATAGAGCAACCTAAAGAAGGAAAGTAGACACCTTTGTTCTTAAAGGGTCTTCAGCCATCCCACCCTGGAGAAGGTTGCTGATTGCCTCTTCTCCTCAGGCAGTCTTGTTACTATGCATCACTTTTTTTCTCTGAGATGAAGTCTCACTGTCACTCAGGCTGGAGTGCAGTGTCATGATCTTGGCTCACTGCAAGCTCCATCTCCCAGGTTCAAGTGATTCTCCTGCCTCAGCCTCCCGAGTAGCTGGACTACAGGTATGTGCCACCACAGCCAGCTCATTTTTGTATTTTTGGTAGAGACAGGGTTTCACAATATTGGTCAGACTGGTCTTGAACTCTTGACCTCGTGATCCATCCACGTTGGCTTCCCAAAGTGCTAGGATTACAGGCGTGAGTCACCACACCCGGCCTGTATCACTTTTTATGCCTCGTCTTCATCCTTACAGCTTCTCCTTCCTAGGGGCCTCAACTCCCAACCCCGGAGTAAGGGTCACAACTGTCCATCTTCATGCAACACAGCTTACTTCCCCTTCTTCTCCTCCCCACCATGCCCTATGGGTTGCTTTTCTACAACCAGAATGGAGCCCCAGAGAGATCTGCTAAACTAAGACAGTTCTCAGCCCTGAGAGAAAAATCTACTTCCCAGTTCTCAGTCCCGCTAAACTATTGTTAAGATAAAGAAGGACCATGATAAATCCTATTGGCTAAGAGAAGAACGTTCTCCAGGTTGCCGTAGGATAAGAGAGGAGGTGACAGAATCTGCAGCCATTTGGTAGAATATGTGATATGTGAATCATTCTGAGGAATACGTTAAAATTCTGTAGTCAGATCTTGGAAAATGCTATTTCCAGCAGAGGGAATAATGTAACAAAAAACCCAGGCAGAAAACAAATGAGTGTGTGTGGAGAACAAGAATAATGTGTTGTGAATGAAGGATTCCGTGTCATGAGTGAGAAATGGCTGACCGAAAGTAGGGAGATGCAGATAGGAAAATACCACGGGAAGACTGAACATCGCATCAAGTGATTTAGGTGATTCTGCCTGCAGTGCAAATATTTTGGGCTCTGAAGTGAAGTCATCAAAAGGTAGACGTCTGTAATGGAGGATTGGTCTAGATAGCCTCTCAGATCCCACTTGGCTTTGAGATCCTTGATTCTGGGTCACACCTGCGGGTCTGGAGGGCAGTTCTTCAGGGTCATGAAGGAAGGATTCCAGGAGGCTGAAACACGAAGGACATTCAAGTGACCACATCAAGAAATCGAGTGGGGTAACAAGAACCTGAACTAAAAGGAATGCAGTGTAAATATGAAGGAGAAAGAGGAAATGGGAAACTGATTAGAAACGATAAGTAGAGAAAAAGGGGAATATGTGATCCCAAGGTTTAGAACAGTATTTGTAAGTTATAGTCCCATAACTTCTTGCATAAACAGTATCTATGATAGTCATTTTACAAAGAAGAGCAAACTTCCAAGTTCCACTGAAACACACCAGCATCTCTGTGGAGTGAATTGGGGAAAGAGAATGAAGAGGTCTGTTCAACTTTTAGACACGCAAAATGTGAATTGAATTGCATGAGTGACATCAACAATGTGAAGATATTTAGCAGGAGCTCTTTTTTCTCTTTTTGGCCTATGGTATTTAATCCTTCTATCATCATTATCGTCCTTTCTCTAATTTAGTGTCTTTGAACCTTTATTCAAAAATCCACTACGTATATGTAACATGTTTGTGAGATTATTACTAGACCCTCTAGGAGGTTTCATTAACCCAGTTTTGATAGTTCAGGTAAGTCCTCCACCATTTTTTTTCCAAGTTGTCTTAGCTCTTTTGGGTTCTTTAAATTTCCAGACACATTTTGGAATCTGCTAGTTCATTTCTACTGAAAAATAAAATAAAAAAGTAAAATAAAATCATGCTGGGATTTTGATTGGAATTGCATTAAACCTCTGATCCACAAGGGCAGAACTGACATCTTAACAATATTGAGCCTGCTGATCCATGAACTTAGTATATAATTTCATTTATTTAGTTATCTCTGCATCACTGCGGGCTGTTCAGTGTATAGATCTTACACATCTTTTGTCAGATTTAGTCTGAAGTATTTCATGTTTTGATGTGCTATAAATAATATTGCTTTGTTAATTTCCATTTCCAATTATTTCTTTGCCAGTGTATAAAGACATAAATATTGCTTGTGTGTTCAGCTTGTATCTTGCAAACTTTCCAAAGTCACTTATTAGTAAGTAACTTCTTATTATTAGTTTTAGTGGCTTTTTGTGATTTCAGGAGATTTTCCACACAGGTGATCATGTCACCTGCAGATACAGATACTTTTACATCTTATTTTCTAATAAGAGTGCATTTTATATATTTCAGCTTACCTTATTGCACTGACTAGATTCCAGAACAATGCTGAAAAGCAGTGAGAAAAAAGTCATCAGGTGGGATGGTAAATACAGCCCTTGTTCTTCCATTTTGACCTGAAGCACCCAGTGTGATCATTTTCTCATTTGATTTTTGTGAGGACTTTTTGTTTCCATTTGTTTCCTTTATTTTTAAAAAATACACTCTCTTTTAGGCAGTTTCACGTTCACAGAAAAATTGAGGGAAAGGTGCAGAGAGTCCTTCTATATGCCTTCTCTTCCCCCACGTGCACACCCTCCCCCACTAACAACTCTCCTGCCCAGAGGGAGCATTTGTAACAACTAAAGAACCTACGTTGACATATTGTCACCCAGAGTCCACAGTTTACATGAGGGCTCCGTCTTGGTGCTGGTTCTATGGGTTTGAACAAATGTGTCATGACATGTATCCACCATGATGGCATCGTACAGAGCAGTTGCACTAAAATCCTAAAAACCTCATCTCTCCCTCTTCCCAACACTTGGGAACCATGGATATTTTCACACCATAGTCGGGCCTTTTTCGAAATGTCCTTTAGTTGGAAGCTTACAGTATTTAGTCTTTTCTGATGGGCCTCTTTTGTGTAGCTGTGCATGTTTAAAGTTCCTACGTGTCTTTTCATGGCTTGATAGCTCACTTCTTTTCAGTGCTAAAGAATATTCCATTGTCTGGATATATCACAAGTTAGTTATCCACTCACCTAGTGAAGAACATTTTGGTTTCTTCGTTGCGTCCAAGTTTGAGCAATTATGAATGAAGCTTCTATAAATGTCCATGTGCAGGATTTTCTGTGAACACAAGTTTTCAACTCTTTTGGATAAATACTGGAGTACAATTGCTGGATCACATGTTAAGAGGATATCTCGTGCCCATCAATGATACAGTGGATACACAAAATGTGGCACATATATACCACGGAATACTATGCAACCATAAAAAAGAATGGGTTCCTGTCCTTTGCAGGGACATGGATGAAGCTAGAAGCCATCATTCTCAGCAAACTAAAAGAGGAACAGAAAACCAAACACCGCATGTTCTCATTCATAAGTAGGAGTTGAACAACGAGATCACATGGACACAGGGAAGGGAACGACACACACGGGGGCCTGTTGGGGGGTGGGGACAAAAGGAGGGAGAGCATTAGGACAAATACTTCATGCAAGCAGGGCTTAAACCCTAGATGATGGGTTGACAGGTGCAGCAAACCACCATGGCACATGTATACCTATGTAACAGACCTGCACATGTATCCAAGAACTTAAAAATGTAAAAAAAAAAAGTAGAGTTGGGTAAGACAATGTGATAATTTTAAAAACACTAAACATGTCATACCCACTTCCCCACCTCCAAGTGCTTTCAACAGCATGCCATTGCTGTTATTAAGAGAATAAAGCATCTACCATCATCTCCCAGCCCCTGCCTGCCTGCCTTCATTCTTGTCTTGTGCCACTTTCTCCCGTGCTTCCTTGCACGTGCCTGTTTCCTGCTGCAAGAGGCATTCTGCATCCACCCCCATCTCTGTTTAGACCGTGGTGTCCCTACACTCCAACCCCCTCAACAATCAACCTCTACTTCTCTCCAGACTGCAAGGGGATCATACCTTCCAGAATGCATCGATTTTTTACCTCTTATCTCAAGATACACCAGGTTCTTTTACAGCATAAATTTAGAGAATCCCGCTTCCCTTTCTTTGGTGCGCTTTCCTCAATTCTTCATCAGAAACCCATTAGAGTGATTGTCATATTAGTGTCCATTCTCCCCATCAGGCCGCAGGTTCGTGAGAGCAGGGGCCACGGTCATGTTGGTGAACCATGGTATTCTCAGTGACTATCCATGTGCTTACAAAGTATTTGCTGAATGAGTCAATGGGTCTGCAGTTCCAACCAAAGCTAGAAGCTTGACTTTGGAAGAATGAAAGTAGGTAACATCTCCAAAGCAGACCCTATAGCATGAGAAAAGAAGGGAAGAACGGAGGCAGAGCTGAAGGATGAATATCGGCACAGGAGTAGGTGAGAGTTCCAGAAATGCTGGGTTTTCACGTGTTTTTATTTACTTCATATCTGTGTTTCCGTCCCTGTGTAGTGTGACTCTCATATCCCTCTCAATTACTACATTTCTTTACTGACAAGGACAGAGGTGGTGCATTAGACACACTACTAACCAGCATACTCTCTCGGACTTGCAAGAAAATGTAGGAAAACAATCTAGAAATGGTATCTCAGAAAAAAAAAAATATGAGAGTAAATGTGGGAAAAAAAATCAATGTTTAAAGACAACTTCCCAACATATTTAGGAATCTCTGGGACCTAAAATTTCATCAGGACTCCCCACACTTCTTTCTTTTTACATTGCTGTGTCTGCGTGCGTGTGTGTGTGTGTGTATTCAACAGAAATCTACAAAAAAAATGCTATTGCTAGAATAATGCTACTACAGGGGAGAAAAATGTAATCTTTTCTTCCACCCATCTTAGCTTCATTGGCTGGGGTTCCTATAACAAAACCAGATGAACCCCAAAAAAAGCAAACGGAGGCTTATTAGCATGTATATTTCATATATACATGGGAGATACACAGGGAATGAGGGAATCTCAAAGAGACAGCTCAGAGCTTTCTTTTATATAACATCTTCAACAAGGATAATAAATGTTTATAGAAGAGCCAAGCCAAAGTAAAAGGACTTTGGGTCATTGGGGGCAACAAATTGTGGGAAGGCCAATAAATGATAGATTTTTGTGTAAATTCCTCTGGTGCTGTTTCCCGAACGATAAGGGTCTGAAGTTGTCTGCAGAGATTGACCTGCGTCCTTTCTGGCAGAGAGGGGAGAAAGGGCACTTTTTTCTTTGTATAATATGATTATGTTGTGTGCTTTTCAGAAAATAGAGGGAAGGCCAGAGCGCTTCTTAATTGCCTTCAGCTCAAAATATTTTAGCATGGAGTGTTTTTTTCTCTGCACTATTCCTGCTGCAGATATCTTTAAAGGCATCAGTCGCATCCTAAACACTACTTGTGGGGAAATATTGAGCAGAACTGGAATGAAATATATAATTCAGTCCCACAGAATCTGAGCCACAGGACACAGAGAACTGCCTGGGAGTCAAAGCAGACAGTGAGCAGCTGACATTCTAAGAGGCTCCTTCCAGGAGGTCGGCGCATAAACTCAAGTTCTTTTCACAGATTTGTCTGTGTTTCTTTTGTTCAAAAAAAAAAATATATATATATATATGTATATATATATATATATGTGTGTGTATATATATATATCCCTGTAGCTAAAATGCCTACTTCATAGTGCAAGAAAAACAACATCTGGAGCCTTTGGCAGAAGCAGCAAAGACCCAAGCAGCCTGGTGGTGTCCGGCGGGGACAGCCCACGAGATCCATCAGCATGTGGCCCTGCGAGCCGCCACCAGTAACATGTTTACATGCTAATGAATGTCAGGCTCATTTAGAACAAATTTGCATCCATCAAAGTCAAACAGCAAGCAGAGCAGCACATTTTCCTGTGTGTCAGTGGCCCCTGAGATACCAGGGAGAACTTTAATTGCCTGACCCCTTCAACTTCCAAGCATCCCAGAGAGAAAAGGCAGGCCCCAGGAAAGGACTGTGCTGGAAACTATTTGTTCTTACAGATGTCCGGAGTAGTCTTGCGACTGACCCAAAGACTCCCCTCTAAGGGTGGGGGATACCTAGGGTAGGTGAAGTTGAATGTGCTGCCTTCTAAGACCTTCCTTCTAAGGGAGGGTGGGGGAGACCCAGGGTAGGTGGAGGTGAGCCGTGCGGGCAGGATCTTTCTTCTAAGGGAGGACGAAGTGTGCTTTGCTAGACTCTACCCTTGAGTCTCAGCTTGGCCGACCGAGATGGGAGCAAGTCACTTCTATCCTATGATTCTGGGTGTCCTCATCTGTCATGGAAGCTTTGGTTCGATGAGCTTAAAGTCACTCCAGTTGCAAAGCTGTGTGACTTGTAGATACATGCCAGTGTGAATGACTCACTTCACTTTAACAAGTTGCACAGATAGTCAGGCTTCTCCCTTAGATCAGTCAGGAGGCCCCAGAAGACTTTGTCACAGACAAAGAGGTGATTAAAAGGAGTCACTGATGGGATTCTTTGGAGATCGGTGGGCAGGGCCCAAAGGGAAGTGAGAATAGCACTCCCCAGATCATGGGCAAGGGATGCCTGGGGAGGGTCTGCTAACGTGGACAGGCATGACTAAGAGAGGAGGGAGGACAGCTCCTCTCCCTCCTCCACCTTCTACCTGCTGCCAGCAATGAATCCAACCAGCAGCCCTAGGCCAGGCCAGGCTCCCAGAGTCAGAGCCAGGAAGAAGCCAGGCACCTGGTGAAGCCACTAGTCCCCATCAACACCAAGGGTGCAGTAAGAATTTTGATGGAAATATTTAAAAACTCATTCAACAACTTCCTATCTCCCCAACCAGCCTCTACATATGATTCCACCTTTTCCAACTACTGAGCGGTCATCAGGGGTGTCACAGGGGTGGGGCTGCCTGCTCTGCCCAGGGCCCGGGGCCCGAGACCCTCCAACCTTTGGAGGTCTGGGGTCCCCTCTCCCCTCCCTGGCAGCAACTGTCTTCTCTGCTGTCAAATTATCACTTCTATCCTCCCACAAAACATGAGAATTTAAGACGGGATTTTGGTGGGGACACAGCTAAACCATATCAAAGGGGGGACCTGGGGCTCCCTCATGGGGCTCTGGCATGAGCTTGGGTGACACAAGTTTATAAGACCCCATCTGCTTCAGGTTTAATTACATACCCCAAGATTCCCAGGTTGTAGTCCTAACCCAGGACCTCAGAATGTGTCTGGATGTGGAGATAGGCCTTTTAAAGAGGTGATGAAGGTAACGAAGTCATTAGGACTGATGCCCTTGTAAGAAGAGATCAGGACACAGACATCTATAGAGTGACAACCGCACGAGGACACAAGAGAAGATGCCATCTGAAAGTCAAGGAGAGAGGCCTTAGGAGGAGCCAGCCCTGAACTCACCTTGACCTTAGACCTCCAGACTACAGAACTGTGGGAAATACATCTCTGTTTTTTCACAAAACTGCCTGTGGCAGCCCAACCAGAGCCATGTGCCATCTTTGGTTCTCAGAAATTCCACTTGTTTTTATGCTCCTGGATTTTAGGAGGCCCCTGGATGACCAGTATGTGGCTAAAGTTAGAGAAGGAATTACTGGTGTAAGAGAGCCCCACACATCTCTGAGCGGACACCGTACAGCCCATGAGATATTGGGTGTAATATCACCTTCTCTTCCCTAGGATATTAAGAACTATATCACAGGAGGGGCGTACAGCCGCAGCCCTGCGTTACTGGGAGCAATAGCATCTTTTCCCCCTCTCAATATAAGGAACAATATCCCAGGGTGGGTGTACATCCCCTGTGATATTGGGCTTAATGTCATCGTCTCCCAATGCGGATATTGAGCATAGTGTCACAGGGGGGTGTATACCTTCTTTGCTATCGGGAATAATATCCTCTCCCCTCAGGATTGTAGGCAAAATATCGAAGGGATTTTACAACTCGTGTGATATGGGCAGTAATATCATCTTCTCCCCCACCTAGATGTTAGGAACTCTATCACAGGCGGCCGTACACTTCTTGTGATATTGGGAGTCATATCATCCTCTCCCATCATCGATATTAAGAACAATATTACAAAGGAGGTGTACACTCCCTGCCATATTGAGAGTAATATGCTCTCCCCTTCGGAATATTAGGAACAATATCGCAAGAGGTGTGTACAACCCCTGCGATATTGGGAGTAATATAATCCTCTCCCCCTGCATATAGAAAACAATATTACAGGAGGATGTACACCCCCCTCCTGTATTGGGAGTCGTATCATCCTCTCCCACCCAGGATATAAGGAACAAGACGACCGAACGGATGTACACCCACTGCCATAGTTTCAATAATGACATCCTCTACCCCCTGGCTGTTAGGAATAACATCATAGAGGGGTGTACACTTTCTTTGATATCGGGAGTAATATCGTCTCCCCGCCGGATATCAGGAACAAGTCTATTAATTATTAATATTAATAAATATGAGAAAAATTAAGAGTAATCATCGATATTAATAATTACAATAAAGATAGTAAAATACTAAAAATATTAACGATTAGCATTAATAATCAATAATAATATCACTATTAATAAAATAATATCAGCAATTAATGTTACTTAAATCAATACTAAGTGATGCTGGTAATAAAATAACAATATTAACAATTAATTTTAAGCATGCATAATCATATATTTAAAATAATTATCCATAATAACAGTATCCTATAAATATCATTGATAATTGTTAATATTGATCATGGATGTTTAATAATTGATCATATTATTACTCCTAATACCGCAGGGGGTGTACACCTACCTGTGATGTTGTTCCTAATATCCAGGGATAGAGAGCATGGGATGTTGTTCCTAATTATCAAAGGGGGGAGAGCGTAATATTACTCCCAATATGGCAGGGTGTGTACATTCCCCCCAAGGGATTGTTCTTGCCATTCAAAACGAGAGAGGATGACATGACTCCAGATATCAAAGAAAGTGCAAACCCACGTGTGATATTCTTTCTAATATGCAGAAAGGAAGAAGAGGATAGTAATCCTCATACGGCAGGAGAGGTACACTCACTCTGATATTTTTCCAAACATGCAAGGGGGAAAGAGGATAATTGCATTCCCAATATCGCACCAAGGGTTGCACACCCCATGTGAGATGGTCCTTCATAATGTTTCTAGGCGGGAGGGATGATATTACATATATGGCAGAAAGTGTACACCCCCCAGGGATACTGTTCCCATGATCCTGGAGGGAAGGGGATGATATTACTTTAAATATTACAGAAGGTGTACACGCCCCCAGTGATATTGTTTCTAATTTTTATGTGGCAGAGGAGGATATGACACCCAATAATGCAAGGAGTAGAAGCAATCCTGGGATATTCTTCTTAACATTCAGGGAGGAAGAGGATGATATTACTCCCAATACAGACGGGTGTACACCCTCTTATAGTGTACACACTGAGGGTATACACCCATCTGTGAAAGAGTTCATAATTTCCAGAGGGGGAGATTATATTACTCACAATATCATAAACAGGCTGTGAGTCCACCATGGCCCCTAATAGCCAGCGGAAGGAGAAGGGGTGGCTATTAGTCCCCACCTTGTGGGGGGTGTCTCACTAGCTCCTCAACTCTGCCAAGCCTCCACCCGTTGAGTCTGGCCTGGATTCTCACACGCCTGCACAGCCTTCATCTGGTTCATAACTCAGCTCACAAAGGTCCCAGTACCGCGGCAAGGATGGCAGTGGTCACAACTGTGGCCATTTATCCCTCTCATCTAGCTCCTCTCCCTGAGGCAACAGCACCTCTGAAGTCACAGTCTGGCCTCCCAACTCTCCACTCCCGGGCTTCTTGGCGTGTTGCTCTGCTGCACACACCTCAGCAAATACTGCTGATGAGCCAGAATCACCCAGAAATCTCTTAACCTTGATTCTGACTACTTTTGTAATTTGTAATATTTGTACTTCTGGTGTGATTCGAGGAACAACACATTTTAAAATTAGAGAAGATGTGGTTTTTATTCTCCTTTCTACTTGCAACCTTGAAAATTCAAGTAGCAGCAAGGGTTTGTTGAAAGTAACTTCCACCAATAGAACCTATTACAAAGGTACTACAGAGTGTCAAATAACCACATAGATGTAAAATAGAGATGCAGACACAGATATAGAATCCAATGGTTAAACCAAATTGAGAAATGCTTGCCAGTTTGATAGGACTTCTAAAACTTGACAAAAATGTTGGCTAGGGATACAAGATGTTATGAGATGAGTGAGATGCTTGGCCTAGAACCACAGGCTCTCTTCTCTTTACAGCAGAAAATCCATAAGGAAGTCAAATCTGAAAGAACCAGGTACCATTGAATGGCATAATCAGTCATCCTTCCCCATCCGGGGGCCAGCTGCGGTGATGGTGGGCCAGTCATTCACCAACATCCATCATCCATCATCCTCCTCTGGGCATGGCTACACTTCACTCCCAGGCTCCCTGTCATTATGCAGATTAGGTAAATCATGGCCACTCTCACCTTAAGCTCCCCCGCCACCGTGGCAATCACCCCAGTCCCAACCACAGCAAGGACAGCCGTGTTCTTGGGAACGCAGAGCAG